TTCCCAGAGCTCCCGCCTACTAAGCTGAGATGGGGAAATGCAGTGGCTTAGTATTCAGTGCTGCTCTACATCTGTATAGCGTCAAGGTTATTTTTTGAAACTCTGTTTTTTTGTATTAGTAGAAAATTAGAACTAGTCAAAATTGACAAGGCAGTTTTTATTTTTTCTCTCTTATAATTTGGGCTTGAAGACTAATTATGTTCTCCTTACTTTTTGAGAGCTGAATTGTTGATTTTTTTTTTTCCGAATGCTCATTTATTACTCCTTTCATTGTGATTTCCAGGGTTTTTGTGGGAGTGTTACTTATCTAAGTGAAAGTATTTTTGCTGTTGATTTCTTTCTTCCACTCTTGTGCCTTTCTTTAAATTGTGCAACAGAAAGAATAAATTTGTAAATTCTTCAAACATAATGTTATACAGTTAATAGCATGATTCCTTGAAACCATGTTCAGTGTTATTAATCAAACTCTTCTTTGTAAAGTATTTGTCATCTCATTCATTATATTACTTTTAAAAATCTTCACCACTTTGCTCTTCAAGCATGATGTAATTATTTGGGTCAATACTTAATTATTTCCTTATTTTTGTCTGAGTAACATCAAAGGAAAAATACCTAAGCATATATTTGGCTGCACAGAAAACATGTATCATTATGATGTGGTAGGAAGAATGGACCTTTCTGATTGGTATGCCTTAAGGTGGTGTAATCGTTTATGTAGCTGAAAAAAGCTGCTTGAGGTTCATATTCCGGATCTAGAATCTTTAGCTGTCCTTCCCCCACCCAGATAAGTCAATTCTGGGACACTTTGTATGCCAGCATAATGCTGCTATGTGAAAGGAAGCTGTGCAGGTGTGAAGGTTGGTGCTACTAGATTCCTGTGAGCAATAAAAGCCCGAAAAAGGTGTGTCGATTTCTACAGCTGAATTTGGTTTTGGTTAATAACTGATGATATATTCTTGCGGAGAGGCAGTATCATATATATTTTTTACGATATGTATGTGTGTGTATAAATAGTTGCTTATATCCTTTCAAATCTAAATATTTCTATGCAAGTTTTTCACGCTGGGTGCCCTTTTGAAAGTTTTTGCTGATGTTCTTTGGAGGATTCAGATCAAATATCATAATCTGTTTCTGAGGATGATAGATAGAGGAAACCCATTTTGTATGAATTGGGAGTAAAGAGATTATGTGATCCCAGGAGTTCTGGGCTTGGTAAAAGCAAAGTTATGGAAGAAGCTTCTTAATCCAAGTAGAGTGGGATACAAAAATCTTACCAGCAACATTATCAGGAAGGCTAGACTTGTATCCAAGGCTACGTGCATTAAATATTCAGTAGGGTACAAAAGATGAGGACTGTAGTTAAAGATAGTTATAAACTAAAACTGAAAGTGGAGTTGGGCTACAGACATGGCCCAAGAGATCAACTTTGATGAGCTGGGCAAGCAAGTTAGATTAAAATATTTGGAAAGAATGGTGAGTGCTAAAACTAGGACCCAGAAAGAAACTATGAAGAAGAGAGAAGAACTCAAATATGGCAGGGGAAGTGTGTCTATTATTGTATATTCTTCCAGAACAGGGAAAGGAATTAGAGAGTAATGAATTATATTATTATTTCTCTGCTGGCATCAACAACCAGTTAAACCAACTGTCTAATCCCCCTCTAGGGCTCATAGCAGTGGTAGATAGTACTTCTATATCCTGTATTGGCTCAAGTGACTGAGGTCTGTGCTGTGGATTTAAGGATTCCTACTCTTCTGATGTATTACATAGATATCAGTATGGTAACATGCAACATTATTTGGTTTTTGTCTTTGTTTTGCTTCTAATTACACACACATACATTAATGGAACTCTATTATGGTTGCCACGTTAATCACTCAAAAGATATGAAAAGGTGAAATTAAGGTAATCCTTGTGTCCTTAATTTCGTCCCTTTGTGCATGCCGTTTTGACACAAACACATTCTACTGATTGTTTAGCTTTCTGAGATTATTTAACATACATCAGATGTACTGAAAAGACATTTCACTTAACTTCTGTTGACCTTAGCTTTCAATTGTTGATGCTTCTGAAGATTGGAAAGCAAGTGTGGCTGAAAAGTTAGGTTATTATGCAGGCTACCTAGGTAATTAATTCTGGTGTTCCCTTACATCTTAGGCCTTGACTTTGCAGCTTTAACATTTTTTGTCAGAATCGACTTTTTGTGCATGATTGACTTTTTTAAAAATTTTTTTTTTTTTTTTTTTAAAAGGACAAATTGAAAACACTCAATTTTGGACCATTGTATTTTTGAAGATGTAGTACATTTCTATAACTTAATTTTACTGTGTACTGTGGATTACATCATTAGTATGTTTCTCCAATCTGAAATAATTGTGTAAGTTAATATACACATCTAGATTTTCTAGAATGTAACAATGGGAATTGAATGTTTATTTGTGCTTTTTGTTGCTGTCAAGCTTTTTGTATGTATAGTAGTTTTTATAAAGAATCTGAAAGTTTTACAAAAGTGATTTAAATTTTTTTCTATGATTGTAAAATATTTCCTATTTATTATTTTATTCAGCTGCATCTCATTTAGGAGAAGGCATGTTTAAGTAATTTTTTTTCATTGCTTTGAAACTAGAGGATTTAAATCCTTGGAGTAGCTTGTGTTAAAATGTGCACAGATGTTGATTCTGTACTCTCTCTTTATGGACATTTCTTTTTCAGTGTGTATATTGCTGGCTTCCCTGAGTATACACAGCCAATGATTGATCATTTACTTAACATGAAGATTAACCACTGGGATAGGTAAGTTCATAAAGACTGATTATTAAAATCCAGAAATTGACTGTTCTGCATATCGTGTTTTCTTATGTAATTTTTGTAAATTTTACTTACACTAGAGTTTGCAATAGCATTTGACTGAAGGAACCTGGACAAGTAGTAGCTGATGCCACCTATACCTCCCTACCATATTGTCACTTAAAACATGTTTATGAATTTTGTCTTTTTGTCATGACCTCAATCTGTTAATAGATTAATAAAACACATTTATATGGTATATAGTATATGTGAGGGGTAAACACCATCACCATACAATTATCATAATTAAAGTAGATTTCATGCATAGAGATGGTGCTTAGTCATATTCAGTGTTCATGAAGATTAAAATGTGTACATATAACACAAATGAGATTATATCAGTGCTGATAATAGTTTGCATCTTGAGAAATAATAATAGTTTACTGTAGTGTCCCTGCCAATGCATAGAATGAGCCCTCAGGTTCTACCATCCACACTTATGTTTTTCTTTGTCTCTTTCAGCAATAAGTTCTATTCATATAGCTAAAAGCTAGCTGTAGGCTGTCTGTTTGGTCCACTGTTTTGTTTTGTTGGCTTTTTTTGAGGGGGGGAAGCATAGGATGGACAAAGAATACTGTAATTTTTAATATTGCTGGGGTCTTTATTTTGGTCAGGGACCTGAGTCTCTTCCTGACATTATTTTTTTAATACATTACTTCTACTAAGTTGCTAACCCAAAAAAATCCAAAAATGCTTTTTTACATCTTCAGTGTTATTCGAGAACTTTCAACCAAAGCTCTGTACAACCTTACTCCACGGGCTCCTGAATACATGGCAAATGTGGGTAGGTAACAAATAAGTTCTGCATAGCTGTGCCATATCAAGCGTTCTAGGTTATGTAGCAAAAAGGTATTAAGAAGATCTAAACATGCACCATGACTTAATAAAAATTAAGATTTCCCCTGCAACTTAATACAATGTAGTGACACTAATAGGTTTACCAGTTTTCAGATTTTATGCAAAAATTATAAAATACTGCCAGATCTTTTTTTATCTGGGGACTGGAATTTAGGTATCCAGTTACACTGAACCCTACCAGTTCCGAGATGAATAAACGGGTGTAGTTCTGTTGCAACAATTCAGGCAGCTAGCCCTCAAATTCCTAGCTTTTGCTTTGTTGATATGGCTTTGATGTCATAAAGGGTGGGGGGGATCTGTTTTGTCTTGTCCAGTCTGACATCTTCAGAATAATTCCTTTTTGACTGTTCTGTGTGTAATCAAATGTTTCTGAGCATGAATTCAGGATCCTTTGCTCGGCCCACTCAAGATTCTGAGGATGTACTAGCTGCTTTTTAATATGACTGAAAGACAGCAGCTGACACCCAGGTGAATCTGTAATTACAGATCTTACCTAGGCTCCCTATAGAGGATTAGGAAGGTGGCAGTTCACATGGAAGTAAAATTCCATGGAAGTACAAGCCTCATGTCCCTTGCTGCTCAGCCAACCCAATGCCTAATAGCAAGTATGTTATTTTATTTACTGTGAACAGGGAGGTAGTTGTGAGTACAAAATTTCTTGGTGTGGTTTAGTATGCTTTGTCAGAATTTACTTATATTTTTAAAACTTGGTTTTCATATAATGGCCAGGATATATTGACCTGACTTTCCAGAAATGGTTTTCCCATGTTGTTTCTAGGCAGTCATGATTAAATTTAGAACTGTGATCTGTCAGTATGCTTTGTTTAAAAAAAAAAAAAAAAAAAAAAAAAATTAATCTCTTTCAGTTTTGCCAAGACTTCTACCTTTATCAGTGGGCACAGATCTGCACACACGCCATGGAGCAATTCTTGCCTGTGCTGAGATCACCCATGCACTGTGTAAACTAGCAGAAGAGAATAAGAGGTATAAATGCAAGATTATCTTGGCTATAAATTTTCCTTTCATGTCTGGTCTATTGAAAGCTTCCTGAGTATAATTATGGAAATCTCCATCTTACTGAACGTCTTTTCCATTGAATTTTTGTTTGTTTTGATCAGTCATGCCAAGCCTTCACATTTTATTTGGTGATGTTATAAACCTAAGTCTAAATTCATCATCAGGAAAGTGAGATCATTTGCTACCTTACTTGGAGAGTTCAGTTATCACTTAAATATAGATTAAACCCCCTTTCCCCATAAATATTCTGTCTTCATGGTGAGGGGACAGTCTTTCGTCTTCAGTGTTAAATACCTCCTAAAGCAGTTTGTTGAGTTGGACTGATTTAATTGTTGCTGCTGAATGCTGGTCCAGATATATATATATGGGTGTATGTGTGTGTACATGCACACATACTACATATAGGTGATGTAGCCAGAATAATTGACAAAATTATTTGGAGATGTCTTTGCTTTAATGTTGTGATTAAAGCAATGATACATTTACTTTTTCTTTTTTTCACAAGAATCACATGTGAAAAATGGTTGAAAATCTTTATTGCAAAAACTAGAATTTGGAAGTTATGTTAGCAGTAGAATTTTATACTAGCGTGACTTAAATTGGGATGAGCAGCTGTTTAAGATCAAGGCAGTGGAAAATAAGACTCCAGAGTGTAAACTTCACTGAAAATAAATACAGTTCTGTAGGAGTCATAGATACAAGTACGCTGAAGAAATATATTTTAAAAAAACAGACAGACATTCTGGGTCATTTTCATTCTAAAAGTTGGATAATTACTCTCCGATTAACCTTTTTTATTTTTATTTTACTTCTGAGAACATTCTGATGCAGTCATACAAAAATATCTAAAGTGGTGACATCTAACGAATTTAATGTTGTCATTGTTTGTACAAACTAAATATACTGAGATAAATTCAAATAATAGATATTGAAAGTGTGCGCTGATTTTTATGGCTTTAATTGTTGACAAATAGGAATTGTATTTGCCAGCAGTGTCTATCAAAAGAATTTGTGTTCATCTTAAGAGTTCCCTTTTCAAGTAGGTTGAAAAGTTAGAGAAAAAGATGCAGCATTTTTATTAGTAGGAAATACTTGAAATTGATGGAAAAATCACAGAAATGTTGGAGTCCAAAAATACAACTGACCTGAGAAAGGTTATTGGTGTATTACTGATTATAATGTTATTAGTAAGTGACACTAATTTTCTGTAGCCCTTTAAGAATGAGTTTGCTGCATGATAAAGAAAGAACTTACGTTATTATGTTTGCTGAAATATTTAAAATTAAATATTGCATATTTCTGTTGAGCATACTTTGGAAATCAAGTGATTGTTTTTCTGTTTGAAAGTACAATGGAGTCATGGAAGAAAAATTATTTATAGCATGATTAGGAAACCAGTCTTAAAGATTTTGTATACCTTTACAGATCTATAACATATTATTTCAATGAAAAATCATTGGAGGGACTTAAGCAAATCCATCAAGAGGTTTGTAGCAAGTATAAATGTATCTTTTAACCTGGTATGTTGTATTATTTTTAAACAAACATTTACAATTAAGACAGCTGTTCTCCACCTTCCTCTCCCCCTTGCCAAAAGTAAACAATCTCACAAATACAAATTTGGACACACTCCAGACTGATAGCTAGATGTCCTTGACCATGTGTCTTACTCCAGTATAATTTTGTATTTGGTCCCTTTCTGTTCTGCCAGCTTCTTAGCTAAGCCTCTTCCTCTGATGCCGTCAGTTACGCTTCTGAAGGACTGCATAGCACTTTGCTTGGTCTTTCTTTCCCCTTCCGTTTCTTCTCCCTTTCTGTACATACTGACTGGCCTTGCAGATAGATGTATGGCTGTCGTGACCATGCTCAAGAGTCCATTCTCTGTCCTTTCTATTTTTTTTTTTTTTTTTTTTAACTTTATTGGGATTTCATTGCTAAATCCTTGCATCCATAATTTACCTGTTTATAGACCTTGAAAGTCATATTCTGTATTTCCACTGATGCATTGTCTTTACCTCTACTTAGGACAAATGAAGTCTTGTCCTGCTCAATTTAAAATGCTTCTATGGAGATAATTTTGCCCAACTGGTCTCTTTAATTTTAAGTCATCCCATATTGTTGTTTTTTTTCTTTTGGCTCCTATTTCTTCACCTTATGGAACAGACAGTACTTCAGCGTTTGGGCTCCTACTCGTTTTCTGCAGTATCTGTAGTACCTTTAGTCCCATTTCTGATGTGCTAAAGCTGTCAGGCTTCACCATTTACCCATTATGCTTTAAAGTACATGGGTGCTTGCTTAATTCTGTGCACAGGTGAAAGCTGCTGCTACAGGTTGAAAAAGCATTTTTGTCCTTGTTTAACTTTCTCATTTGAAATGCCTGAAAACTTGATCAGCAGTACCTGTACTGTTACAATCGCCTTAATTTGTTATAATACTTCCCAGTTTCTGCTGCTGTCTGTTCTTACAATTAATCTGCAAAGTTGGTGTAAACTCCGTCTTTTTAAAAATCTGGGGGTTTTTATTTTTACTACGTAGAAATTTGATAATCTCTGATTTTTTCAAGATGGCCTACTGTAATGTTAACAATGAGATAATATTTTTCAGTCATGTTCGAACTTTTATTTAAGTTTTTTCTGTTTAATCTGTAGCTAACGAAGCTATTTTCAGTTTTCAGACAATGCAGTATATCATTATTTAAAAGGGCCAACTGTGGAAAGCAAATGTATTTTAAAAAGCCAAACTAGCTTCCAGGGTATGTGCAGGAGCAGCTAGGATTTGGAATTAAGAAAACTAGTGCTTTATGAATGTGTTAAATTTATTTTCTTTGAATGTAAAATTCAAATGGATATTAAGAGGTTTTTTTAAAAAGATTTTTCCTTTGAATTTTATTTTGAAAATAATCCCAAATGTTGCACAGCTCACAGTATCTAGACATTACATGCGAGGCGGAAAAATGAAAAACACTTGTATCAAACAAACTCTCTAATATTAATGTTTGTTGCTTTCCTCCCCCCCCGCCCCCCCAGCTTTGCAGTCGTCAATTGTACAGGTAAGAAAATGGACGCAAAAAAAATTATTTTTCATATTGGACAGTATCAATTAGAAGTAATGAAAAGAGTAGGATCCTAGGGGGCTTTTTGGTTTGTACAAGTGGGTCACACCTACCATAAGACTGCCAGTCTCTCACAGTTCATCAGAATGCAAGCACATGCATTCTTTTGGCTTTGTCTACCTATTACAGAAGCCGATGTCGTTTTATAATGGTTGTGGTGTTTAGAGTGCGACTCAGAGGCATGTTAGATTAATGGGAAAGTGGTAAGTACTGGTCTCAGTATTGTGATAGAGACAGTAAAGGAAAGGAAAGATTTTGAAACAGAATACACTTACTAATCCATGGCTTCAGCAGTGTGTAATGGATTTCTTTCCAGTTACTCACCTGTACTGTAGTGCTTGCATGGTTCAAATAGGTCTATAGAAATGACCTTTAATAAGTTAATGAGTCCAAAATGTATGTATTTTTTTAAAGGAGCTTCTATCTAAATTCTAGAATTGCTTTCTTCATCCTGCGTAATGAGTAGGCCAGGAGTATTACAAAAAGTTCAATGCAATTTTTCAACTCTTGTGCCAAAGAAAATATAAATGAGTTTTCACTGAGTTGTTTTTCATTTCCTATTTATTGAAGCTTCCTGGAAACAAAGGGAGTTTGCCTAAGTAACTGTTAAGTAAATGTGAATTAAAATTGGTATGTGACTTCAGAGTTTCTTCCTAAATTTAAAGAAATCAAAACATAGTTAATGACTTGTATTCCCTAATGAGTGTATACATGAATGAGGGGTTTTTTTCTGCTTTGACTGAGAAATTCTTTGAGCTTTTGGGCAGTTTCGTTCACTTCTTTGTACGACATATCTGAAAACAATAAACCTTAAGTAGTGTTTTAAGTAATTATTAATCATAATTTAAGGAATTTTTATGTGATTTTTGTATCCTGAAACTTTCTGAAAAAATGTTAAAATTTGCTCCTTAAGGGTCGTACATACTGATGTGAAACTTCCACTCCAAAGTTAGCTTGTACTGGTGGATGGTTTTAATGCTGATACTGTGTATTAGTGTCTTTGTGGGTGGCTGTCTTGGCTCCCATAAATTCTTTAATGTCAGGGTGGAGCTTGGGTGTAATTTGTTTTTGTCATAATGTGCACTTCTTGCACTTAATGGTATTTATAAGATGCCTACAGAAATGTTTTCATTCTAGATAAGACTTCTAATTCAACTCCAAGCAAAATGGATTCATTGCTGTTTACTCTAATACTTAGGCTGAGACAGAGATGTCTGCTATAATCCATATTTTAAAATATTGGTATGCATAAAATATTTTAAAATAGGACAAGAAAAATAAACTAGGTTATAAAAACAAACCAGCGATTTGAGTATTGCTGGGCAAGCATTTAGTGAAACAAGCCAAACTTGTTTCGTGATGAGTAATTATTGCACATAATATTCCAAAGATTTCCATTCGAGAAATTGCTACCGGGAATTTTCGGTGTAACAACATCTTGTAGGAATGTTGAAAACCTGTGTGTTTTATTTGTGTTTCTAGTTTTTAAACTGCATTAACAAAAAGCATCAGGCCATGTCCCTCAACTGTTTATTAGATACTTTGCTTTCACTTCTGGCAACAAAATAGCTGTCTTTTTGTGGACCAAATGGATTTTAAAGCTTTGATCAAGCTGTTTTCAGGAATTGTGTTGACTTGTGAGAAAGTGAAAAGGAAGTAAAGTGTAAAAATGCTGTGGTGTGGGTTTTCTTTTTGGTTTTGTTTTTTTTTTTTTTAATAGTTGTAATTTATAAATTTTAAGCTGGAAAATGGGTCGTGAGTTTCTAATGCTTAGGACTCCATTGAATCCATAAGTACCTCAAGTCAAAAAAGATAAAGCCAAAGTGCTGTAATGGAGACCTTCATTTAACTAACCATCTTTCTTTGTGTAGCAGCTCTTGTAATGTCTCTAACCAGATTTTAAATGATGGCCATGAATTATCCTTCAGACAGGATGTGGTCCAAGTTTTGAGCTATACTGCACAGTCTCTCAATTTTGGAGTATACTTCAATCAGTTTGTTTATGCTAATTGTAGAAAATCCTGTCCTCTACTGTATTAGCACTTTTAAAAAAAATGCAAGTATCTTTCTGTCTTCCTGTAGAAGTCCTTTTCTGGGTTTACAATAGTATGCTGAAAAAGGAGAATGCAAGTCCAGGCACATCAGTGTGTACTTCCTTCCATTAGTCTTGATTCTGACACATTTGATGCACTAGTTTGTCTTGAGGAGCTGGTTCGTTTAAGCATTTGCATGTGCACTTCCAGTTGAGTATTGCACAGTGAGTCTGATTTTCTGTATGAAATGGGCACTAGTTATAGCGAGTCATATGCAAACCATGCCACTTAAACAGAGTATTTGTCCATTGTGCCTGTTTTGTGCTATACAGGTTATAGAGTTATAAAAATTGAGCTATATTTTATTTGCTGTAAACATTACTTTTATATATAAAAACCTAAGACAAAAACTTGTGGCATCTGTTGCCTTAAGCTGTCTTACTTGGGATAGGAAGTCTGTCTGCCAGTTTAAACACAGTGTTAATGGTCAGCCTGATTTATATTATGCTTCCACTGAACCAGCATGGGTAGTATCTTTTTTTTGTAGCAGATACATTTCTGTAATGCATCTAAGACCGTGTCCTAGTTCTCAATACGAAAAGTCCTCAACAAAAAGGTATTTTTAATAGTAGTTCTGTTAAGATTCTTTAAAAATGCATCATCTGATACAAGGTTCTTGCTGAATATTCAGCTGAATAGATGTTCAGAATTTTTTTTACCTCCTTTCTTGTAGCCAGTTCTGAGTCTGATAATGTAGGTCTTAATACACCGAGTTGGGTAACAAGATAATTTAGGGACGGATGTGGAAGTGCTGCAGATAGATATGCTGGGCTTCTTCCAGGTAGTTGCACTGCACTTCTGTATTTCAGCAAATGTTCTATTTATTGGGCCTTCAGGGTTCCCATCAGAGCTGGATACGACAGGATGCACAGTGTTTGATAGCAACTCCCACACTGGATGATTCAGTTAGTGCAATGTGCTGCATGCTGAGTTTTGCTCTGATGTCATTCTTGTAATATATGAAGAGGCTGGCTGTGTGTATTACAGAGTCAGCTATGTGAGACAAGCAATTTTAGGTTTTTACAATAGTAGCCAGTGTAAGTTGGACTGTCATCTTCAGAGTTTCAACTTTTCCAAAAGAGTAAGGTAGCCTGTAGGTGTTGACAGGTGCTAGGCAAAGGAGAAACTCATTTCAAAGACCTTTAGGGTTGCAACTAATCTTGATGGTTTCAGGGCAAATGTGTTTCTTGGCAGTCATCTGCGTAAAAGACTTTTTTAGGCATACTAACTTAATCAGCAAATAATTCCAGACTTGCAACAAAGCTCATCTTAGCAATTCTTCCAAGTTTAAATTATTTTTTGCATCCAGTAGCATGATGGTTCTAGGAGATCGTTCTATACTATGTTCTGAAGAGTTATAAGGTGAAATACTTTTGCTACTAACTGAAGTCACGGGAAAACTCTTGCTTCCATAGAGCCAGGATTTCACCCGTAGTCTTCTGGTGTTAGAATACAATACAAAATGTGTGTGGTCAGCATATGAATTTACAGTAACCTAAAAATAGGCATTTGTCAGCTTAGTGTAGTTTATTCTCTGCATCTTCAAGGGGTAAGACCATAAGAACTTTGTTAAATACACAGGGTTTTTCATCTATGCTCAAACATATCTCTTTCCTCCTCTGTGTACCTTGTGATAAAGCAATTCTGTACGTCTGAAGCTCAGTAAGTGTACAACCTGGACCTTTTAAGATACATTTGGGACAAAGAGTTCCCATGGAAAATAATTGGTTACTATTTATATGGAGATGAAAATACTTATTCAGCAGGTGTTCTTATCTTCCTGGAAATTATAGTTAGTGTTACTTTTATAATCTTAAAGATGAATTCTGAACTTCTCACAAAAAGCAAGTTTTAAATAATTTTAAAAAATAACCTACAAGAGTACCTTGAACTTCTATATGCACTGAAAACAGCAGTCATTGGTTTTCATTCAGGCCTACATAATTTTAAAATAGATACCAGCATTCTTAGGTCAGTAATCTTAGTTCATCGGTTCTACAAGGGATTATACATTTTGATTATATTTTCCACAAATAAGTTGTGACTCACCCTAAGATGTTTCTAGGAGAGAAGCATTGCTGTGGAACTGCACATAGGAAGGAATGCTTAGGAGCTCATGGAACCTGGGCACTGCATCAGTCAATTTACAAATTGAATTAATAATTAAACCTTGAAACAGGCACGTCTAATAATGTGATGCAACTTGTGGATGTGTCTTTGGAAGAAAAAAGAGAGAATACTGACTGTACAGCAAAATTCAGAATCTCTGAATTAGGTAGATCTGTATCTTTTTAATTTAGTGAAATACTGTAGAGCGAGATAAACTTAATAGAAAGATGCGCATCATGTTTGACAAAACTAAACACTGACTGAGGAAAGATCTAGTATTATGATAGAATTCTCAGTTCTTAAAATTGAAATACGTACGAGCTGTGGAAAGGGGGAAAATTTTAGTTATATTGATGGACATACTGTGATGTCTAGGCAAGAAATAACTTGAAAAATTTTGCAGAGAAGAACACATGGTATTGCAGTGCCTTCAAAGATGATTTGATTATAGTTTTTGCGTTATGTGGAAGTCTTACTATGCAAATCACTGTCACCATTCTTCATTCTTGCACAGGGACAACAATCCTCAGTGAAGCTCTAAACTCCGAAATTAAACTGAGTTGATGTAATGCCAAAGGAAGGGATAGCTGTCAAATTATTAACATAAGAGTAGCTTTAAGTGGCCTGACTTCCTTATTGGCAGTGTGAAGTGGAGAAGAGCAGCCTTTATGACTCAGTTCTTGCTTTGTAGTTTGAACAGAAGTCTGTATCTGAATCCTTGCATCAGCAGACTCTGTTGCACACCAAACAAATTTACAAGATCATTATTTTATATTCATTTGCAGTAAGACAACAGACAAAAGGCAAGGAATGGGTGAGGATGAAATGAAGGGAAAAGAAACGTTGAAGAGGAAGCAAGCCTTGACACATCATTCTTCTGTTTTTGCTGCTGTCTTGACTCCTTGCATCACTTCTTTGTTTTCTAATTTAAAATTTTTAGAAGCTGGGGAGCAGACAACAGGGCAGGAAGGTGGGGTAGATAACACAAAGACCTTATCAGCATGGGGATGTGGAATCTGTGCTTGCTTCCTACAATGATAAACCGAGCTGTGGATTATTACATTGAGCTTAATATATTGATTGTCAAAAGCAAAGGTTCCCAATTAAAGGAAGTGCTGATCTATGGCAAATAAGAATATTGTGGAGTTGGCGTCTCCGCATTACCTGAAAAACGAATGACAATGTTGAGCAGTCAAAAACCCAGTGCATGTTACAGGAGGCACCTACTTGTATGGAATGGAAAAACTTGTTTAAAATGTTTAGGCTTTTGAAGCCTATATAAAAGGATAAGTTGGAGGACAAAGTTCTAAGAGTTGTTAGGGTTGCTAAGTTTGCCGTCGGAGCGTAGGTACTAATTTTATTGTGGGGAGGGAGGAGGAGAGGAGGGAAGAAAACGTTTCTAAAAAAAAAAAAAAACACCAAGCAAATAAACAAAAAAGCCTTTGTTGTTCCTCCCCCTTGCTGGGAGTTTCTGCCAGAGCATGGCCATACAAACAGGTGATTGAGGGTTTGGCACACCTCAGGGAGGAAGTATTCCAGCAGAAGTGAAGGGAGACAAGAATAAGGAGCCGAGGGAGGAAATACCCAAAGGAAGGGCAGGGGTCAAAGGTTCATTAAATGGAAAGATTAAGCCACAGAGGGTGACGCCGAGCAGGAGAGCCCAAGCAGTGCTCACAACACCTCAGGGATATCCATGTAACCAGCAGACATTGCTCGGTGGCGTGAGGAGATGTCTCGCTGCCCAGAGACACGAGACGCTAAAGAATGGAAACAGACCCTGCCGTTTCCAGGATGCTTCTCCCTCTCTCCACGTCCTGCCGAGTTCAGACTTTCTGCTTCTAGTGCTGTCAGTGGTCAGGCTGATGTTCAGACACGTTAACTAGGCTGGATAAGCCTGAGGTCTGAGCTGGTTGAGACCATCCTTACGTAACACACACTTAACTTCAGGGGGGTCTGAAGCATCTTGAGCCATTTGTTTCTTTCCCTTTTCTGCTGTGTTGGAAGTTTTTACCCCCTCGCTTATGGTGGTGAATGCAAAATCATCTGGGAGGGGGCTTTAGCAGGGGAGGAGAAGGTGAAGAAAGAAGGGTTGGAAGCTTTGACAGGGAAGTAAACCAGTTAACATTTGGGAAAATGGGAACTGGTAAGTGAAGTTTCTATTTAAAGTTCTAGAGATGAAGAGTTTGTTAAAAAATTGCATGTAATTGCTTTGAAGTTACGGAAGTCAGAAGCCCATCGAGGCTGTATGACTGAAAAGTCCTGTGGCAAGTCCCACAGGTTTGGAATGCTTCTGAAGCAAGTGAAAAGAAAAGTAGAATGAACTGGACAGTCTTTTATTATTCTCATTAACAATTAGAAATACTGGGACCACATTTTTGCAAGAAGAAAATTAAATATTCAGGAAGGTTTTGTATAAATCACGACGAAGTCAACACGATAGTTGATTTAAAAAGAGGTATTTTGGAGTTGGTCAAATACAAAACTGCAGGTATTTTGTGATGTGCTTTCATTCTGAAATGGTTTTGAGGGTTTTTTTCCTCAGTAGGCAATGCACTCAGATTGCTTGTGGTAGGTTATTCTCTGAAGGCTCTGTTTCTGCTTTGCAGGGGTTTAGGTGGAGAACTGATGAGACCAGCTGGTAAGTATCATAGCTGTGGTGTAAAAGCAGAAAATGTGCAGTAATGAATTCTTCTGTTTACTTTTTTCCAGTTTGTTTTGCATATATTGTGTTGAATGCATAAAGTATGCACAGTAATGAAAAAAAATACAAAGTTTGGAGGCCAGTCAGAAGACAGGTACACCAAAACATTGGTTGCCAGCACAATTGTAAATAAGCCTGTTTGTGTAAGAGTTGGAGATAGTTCTTAGTTTTATGTCACGCATTCTCTCCTTCCATTGTTGCACACAGTGAACTTTCTTCAGGGTTGTGCTGGCTTCTTTCATTGGTTTGCTCAGATTCCTCTCCAGAAGAGATGCCATCTGTCCGTTAAGACACATATCATCATGTAATTAATGATTTTATCATAATACGTATTCATGCAAAGGTGAAGAATAAATACCATATAAACAACAGTTTGTGGAAAGGGTGGTATCACAGAAAAGATGATGGGTTGTTCACATGGATTTTGAGCATTGTTATATACAGAACCACTGTAAAAAGGAAGGGCACTGCAGGAAAAAGTATCCATCCAGGTAGCCTGGGTGGATAAGGAAATGATGCCAACTTGAGTTTCCTACTCATGGGTTGAACAAAGGAAGTGCTACATAGCAGATTCTGGCTTTGAAGATGTGAAGCCATCCAAACTTAGTGGGTAAAGGAGTTTCAGTACCAAGATGGAAGAGTGGTCAAATAGAAGGGGTGAAGGGGGCAAGGGGATTTCTGCAGTCTTTGAATGAGTTTACAGTCTTATGACATGGTAATGCAGGCTGAAAGAATAGGTAGGGTTTTTTTAATACGTTTTAGCTTTTAAGCAGCTGAGTATTTCATAGTATTGGAGAAGTACAAATGACAGTGTTTTGGCATGATACAACTGTGTAGGTGGAATAAAAGAAGAACTGAAAATATTCCACAAATTGCCTGCATGTCTAATGAAGATGATGGTCTCAACCACAATAGAGCATAAAAGAAGCATAGAGAACTAAGGAGGAAGCCTAAGAGACTTGGGTTTAGTCACATTGTGCTTAACCTTGTCTGTGAATAAGTATTAGAACAAAGAAGCCGACATAGAATATTGACTGGAGCTTGAGCACAGGGAGCCGGATTGTGTGACATTACCATAGTGAGGACTGAATTCAAGAGTAGATTTGGAGTCCAGTAAGTTGATTAGAAATGGAGAAGAGGATGAACTGTGTACAGAGCCCGGAGTAAGATTCAAAGATTAAGTTGTGGGAGGAGAGGAAAACAAGAAGATGGCATTATATAGTAGCTTGTTCTGTCTTCTCCCTCCTCTCCGCCAACCCTCTGCCAACTCTAAAGCAGTCACATAGTGAGCATGGATATATACCAGTCTGTTTTATTTGAACTGATCACCAGGAGGTGAAAGATTACTGTATTCCCCAAGTCCTGAGTTTTCATCTGAGCAATGCAGTCAATCTATTGTATAGTAAAAGTTTGCAGTGTTTACTGTGTTAATCTCTATTCCCCAAAACAGCCTTGAAACACTAAAAAAACACCCTATTCTGAAAGTGGTTTTGTAAGCTTACAACTCATTTAAGTTTATAGATTTTAAATAATAAGGACTTAATTATTAAAATGACATTTTCTCATATTCTGAGTATCAAAGGAAATAAAGCTGCGTCCAGTTTTATAGCTCCTAGCTCTGTGCAGGGAACAGATGCCACTACTTGAAGGTCCAAAAAAATGTTAATAAGAAGTAGGAAAACCTTTTATATATATTTGAAGATGGTTTATAGTGGGTGTAGTATTATCCTTGTCCAAGTCGGTTTACTATCAATGATACTACATAGCCATTTACAGATAGGTATAGAAACAGAAAGGTCACCGATATGTACATATGTACCTTAAATGGCAGCAGGGGACAAACATGCCACCACACAATGGATTTGCATGAATAATGGGACTAACTCATGTCAGAGAACGGTTACTGCTGTATGTAAGAATAATAAGTGTAATTCCCTTTCAGTTTCTAATTTCACATATTTGGGGCTTCTGATTGCAAATTTTCTTCAATTTAAAATAATGGTAGTGTAATGATGTGTTTGTATCTTCAAAACTGCTGCAATTTCTCTTTTTATTCATCTAGTTATCAAATTCATTTTCTTACAGTCTGCACTTTAATTGAGAAGTTGTCACGGTCAAAAATGCCATTTAGAGGAGATCCAATAATCGGTATGTCGTACTTTAAATAACCTTCCGTTATTGTAGTAGTTATTCATTATGCTAAAGTATTAATGAATGATGTTTTTCAAAGAAGCAAGATTAGCAAGGTTGGGTGGCCTAACAAATAAAAAAATATCAAAAAGATACACAAATACTGCAACAGATGATGATGTTATTTGAAGATTTGTTTTGTAGCTGTTTGGCAATATACGTCTTTTCCTGTCAAGTTTTCAGCATTACCAGATGTGGTGTTTGCGCTATGTACATTGTATAACAAACAGAAATAGCTATAGTAATTGAGAATCACAACCTTGTTTATTTTGGATAACCAAGGAAATATGTCAATATGTATGATTGCTGGTGTTTGTAAAAAATAAAAGAGAATGTTGAAGTTCAGAAAGGAACTAAAATTTATACCAGTTGTGTTCCTTACTATTTCAGGTGGCTGGCAGTGGTTAATAAATGACAGTCTAAGAAGTCTCCCTCTTGTTTCAAGTGCTGCACGACAGCATATAAAGGTACAATAGTTCCTTCTTCATGTGGTCACACTAAATACAGAATTAGAAAGATTTTTGCTTTCCATTGGTGGATTATTTTCCATGGAATCTAATTGGTTCTTGAATGTTTGTTTCTTAAATTGGTATATTTTCTTTTTTTAAAAATTTAAATTCCTCAAAATTCAGTGGGAACTTTTTGATTAATAATTGAACAGCAATCACAAGGGTTGTTCTTGTATGTGCATTTGGACAAAGTAATTGACAGGTGCTCGCATTAACAGTGGGCTAGCATTGCCTAGTCACTCGCTGATGGTTGCTTGAAGCTACTTGCTGTTGGCTGTATGGTTACATTGATATGGTATTTTGCTTCTATTTTGGTGTACCAAATATGTGTAAGATATGTTGATTTTGGTAGTTTCAGAGAACTTTTGTGAGAATTAAAAAGAATCTCTGGATGATGTATTTGAGGGTGTGTTTGTTAACAGTGAGAACATCGGTGTGATCAACCAGAGTTAGTCTGGACAACATGCTTAAATTTTCCATTAAACTCTGTTGCAAATCCTTTTACTGTGCTCTCAAGCTTCTCTAATTCTGAATGTTAAATCCATTGCTAGATATGTTTCATGTTATTTTATGTAAGTGATCTTAATATCTCCAGTTATTTGCCTTAATTTTCCCGAGTAATACCATGACAGTTTGATCTTGCGCTCTTAAAGGCTCTACCAAATTATAAAGACAATTTTTGTCTGCCCTGTTAAAGCTTATAGCCATCAGAGAGACAATGTGAATATAACATACTGTGTTCATGTTGTTAGTTTTCAAAAATAAGATAAAAAGCCATTGCAAGTATCTGGTAGGTCATCTTTTAAAGTCTTCCTTGGAAGACAGAATAGACTAGAATGTATCCAAATCACTGAAGAAAATGAAAAGATGAAATTTGAATTCTTGGAATATTCTCTTGGCATTAGCAATTTATTCAGAGAGTTTATATGTCTTATAACTGAAACTTGTAAACCAAGCTTAAAAGAATTAATTATAGCCTTTAGAGAATTTTGACTTGTTTGGTTAACATTAATTAATGTTGAGCAAAGTTGTTTAGTACATGTCCATTCTCACTTGATTTCTATATATATTTCAGAGAGAAATAATTTTAAGGGCAATGCTTAAGTCGTTGAAAAGTAATCTTTTTTTTTTTTTCTGACATAAAGTATACTTTTCCAATGTAACTTAATGCATTTAAGGTGAAAACCATTCTCTTTAGAAAGTGAAGGACCTGAGCAACCTGATCCAGTCAAAGATTGGAGAGGGGTTGGACTAGATGATCGTTAAAGGTCCCTTCCAACCCAAACTATTCTGTGATGCTATGATCTGCAGCAATTAGATAATTCTGTATATTTTGCTACTATAATGCCTGTGGTAGTTAGAATATTATTTACATGAATGCTGGTTTTCTTTCAAGTCCTTCATTTTGCGTAGAGAAAAGTCTGAGGTGTCTTTCAGGGTAGAATTAATAAGCCGTACAGGATTCCTGTGTTATCATTTAAGATTTCTTGTACCTGGAGAACATGAGTATTAATAAGGATCATTGCTGTTAATACGGAGTGAACAGTGCATAGTTTTTGTATGCTCTCAAATTTATTATAATTTTGGTCAGCACTATATTATTAGCTGAAAAGTATAATTCAACCATGAATTTTATGAGAAAACTTGTTACATACTTTTTGAAATAGCAGCTGTATTACTTTTGTGTTCTGTATCAGTGACTGAAACCACTCTAAAGATTAGAAGGTTCAGGCGTAATAAACAAGCTTTGATCCTTTTCTAAAGCAATTAAGATTGAGACACAAGGATTGCGATACTGGATATTTTGGGGTTTTTTTCGTGTTTCCTTTCTATAGCTTTCTGGGGAAATATGGTTTGTTTCTTACCAACCTGGCATCAATATATTGAAGGTGAAATAATGACTTGTGTATTTTGTAATACTGTGTTATCCTGGACATCTTTCAACTGAACTGAAAATACAGTTGATACATTACTGTTAGTGTCTTAAATATTAAATTAGCTTACTGGTACTTTTGAAGGCATGAGAGTAGAGTTTTTTTCTTACATACATTTCCTGTTCAACTGTTCTGAAACCAATATTGGGAAGAAATAAAAACAAAGTAAATGTCAGTAGTGGAAGGGAGCGATCTTTTAAAAAAATCCACTCTCTTTTTCCTTAACCTTTCAATTCTAAGCACAGTTATCATAAAGTTTGACCTTAGTAAATATACCAAGTTCACAATTTCGCCTTTGTTACAGGAGTCTGCAGTCTCTGCGCTGGCTGCACTGTGTAATGAATATTACATCAATGAAAAGGGAGAAGCTGATCCAGCTCTACAGGGTAATGACTCATGTTTATAGCAGAGGCAGAAAATATTGGGCTGGACCTAACTTGCACTTTGGAGGTATTGGGTAGAATGGGGAGGAGCATCACTAATTTTAAAGGACCTTAAAATGCTTCAGGAAAGAATGATAAAACCAACTGAAAGTCTAGGAAATGTCTCAGAGTTTTTGCTTGTTTTAGACTGGAAGTGAATACAAAGTACCATAATAATGAATATTAGGAAAACCAGATTGTTTTTCTATTCCATACTGTAAAACAAAGAAGCAAAGAATATGTGTTTGTGCCAAATCCTAAATTTTAATGAAGTAGGACATGTTCACATCATATTTTGATAAACTGTATGCCAGAGATTGTGGCTGACTTGAAGAAGAAGAATTGGTTAGGGATAAGAAGAGAAAGATAGCAAGGACACCCAGAGTTCTTGTAAATGTGCACATGAAACCTTGTCTGTTTGGATTTGGATCAGTAGTACAGGAGTAGGCTTGAACTACTGTTAGGTGCATATGAATCAACATCTTTTTTTATACTGGTTTTCTTGGGTCTTTCTTTCAAATACCAAATTGTATCATGTCTCTCAGAGACAGAGCTGGATTGTATAGCTATTTTGAGAATAACAACATTTATGTTCTTGTCTTTTTAAATATGACAGTGAATTACATATACTTAACAAAATACTGATTTATTTTCCTATTTTTTGCCATTACTAAGTCACTCCTAAAACAGGTAACAGAATACCTTATTATTTATTTTTATTATGGTAGTTCCCAGAATGAAACTGATACCTGTCACATATATAGTAACATGCAGTCTGTGCCCCAAAGGAGTTATGGCTGATATATAAAAGCAGCCTATCTAGATTTTAAATCTTTTCTATATTGCTAAAGCTTTATATGTTTGTAAAAAGAAAATTTCCAAAAATAGCCATTGCCTTCACACAGGTTGGCACTGCATGCCTGATTTTTTTTGTGGGCGGCATGGGAAGATGTGATATAGTACTGAGGCAGATTAAAAAAACAACCTCAGGAAAGGGTAATGTTTTGTAAAAACAAAACACTTTGGGCAGGCAGAGACAATGCTGAATCAAAGAAAGCAAGCTAAAAATGAGTTGAAAGGTTAATAGGTCACATTTTATGTAAGGGTGAAGTTTCAAGCTTCTGCAAAAGTGGACCAGAAAACCAGGCCAGATGTCAAAATCAAGAGGGAGAGAGGATCTGCTGGAAGAACATGCAATAGATAGCTGTAGCTGTTCTGATGCTGTACTCTTTTAGATGCCTATGAAGCTCAATTGTTTTTTCCTGGATTTTAGGTTAACTTTTCACCTGGCTTGTGCTTGAATGAATCATGGCGATGTAGCCGTGATGGTCTAGGGACATAATTAGGTTCAGTTTTGTCAATACAGGCAAAATTTTTCATCAGACTTTCTGGAATGGTTTTGAGAATAGAATTGTGAGTTAGAAATTCTTCTGTTCTAAAAAAGTCTCTAGTCAGCTCTGTCTTGATTATGCTTTTATTTGGCCTTGTACTGCTCTAAAGCCTGTTCCACACACGGTAACAAAAGTGCCATTATACATGCAAGCATCTTTTAAAAGAAAAAAAAAAAGCTCCATGTGTTTTCATCTCTGTGCCAGTAAAAACTATATATTTCATGACCACTAAAATTGTATGTTGTGGGACTGAAATCCACTGCTAAAATCCTCCCCATAAAGTCTGATGTATGCATGTATGTGTGGCAGCTACAGTGCAGAAGAAATTCAGTGACAATGTAGGTGCCTTAGGTAAGTCAGTTAAAGCAGGTCTAAACATGACCAAGGGGATTAGGGGGGAAAAAAAAAGTTTTTGGTAAAATTTAAGCAGTGTTCTGCTATGGCTTGACAGATTAAAATGAAAACACAAATCAAAGATCCTTTAGTGATTGAGCATTCTGAATCTGTCCCTATAGGACTGCAATTTTATTGAATCACATCTTCTGCCTCTGTTTGTTTTCACCTTTTCTTTGTTTTATTTTTTCTGTCTTAATGTGTTCTGGTTCAGTTTTGATGACTTTCTCTTCTAATATTTTTTCAGGATGGGTTGTGTTGAATTAATATTGTAGACACTTCATAGGCCATGTTGTTTTATGAAGCTGAAGACTCTTAGAAGAATATTAACATTTGCATTACCCTTGCTAGCATAATTACTAAGTAGTTATAAGTAGAGAGCTGCTCATTTACTAGTTGTCATGTCTTAATTTTATGTCATTTAGCTAAAATGTCAATCTTAAATTTATATCAATCAAAGGGAAGACTGTCATAGTCTTACTGTCTAAGATCTTGCTGTCTAAGCAAGCATTGCATCTTCCTATGGCCTCAAGACTCTATCTTACACTCCAGTGGTTTGGAAATTTTTAAATAATAGATGTGCTTATATGAAGGTATTGCTAACCTCTGGACAGGGAACTAGTTCCCTGATGTGAGAAACTAGTTGAGGCCTGCCGATTGCGTAGGGATTTAAAAAAAAAAAAAGAAAAAGTCAGTCATGAGTTATGATTAATGTGTAGTTTCTTATGGTAACTATTCTTTCTTCCTCTAGCAAATATTGCTCAATCATTTAAATCTTAGATGACAGTAAGCGATGGCACAATTATGTAATCTTCCTAGGTCCTCTGATTCTTTCAGGATTAAAAAGTGCATATTCAGACCACCTGTCTCCTTTTTGAAACAGAGTTGTGTTTATTGCAGCTATCTTGGTTGTTCTTAGAAGCTTTTCTGGAGTACCTTGTTTTTCTCTGCATTTTACAGAAGAGTTTAATATAGTAGCTGAAAAATCTGGTAAAGGAAGTATTGCCTTTTAAGTCTATGATAAAGACCACAGGAGAAATATGTAGAGAGATTCCTTTTTTCTTTTTTTCATTCATCCTCATTTTTGTTTTCGTATCACTTTACATCATTGTTTAGCCTCCTTTTTTCATGCCCAGTTCAGTTTATTTGTGCTCCTTTTCTCTGTGCTACTGTTTGTAGAGCCATTGCCCATGTTTTGTCATGCAATGATGCACAGAATCTGAGCACAGCATTCCTACTTCAAAGTGGTCGCTTCTTTTTGAGCTTTCTCCTGCAAAAAGCCCAACTTTGTCTCTATATAAAAAATGACATGATGTGATCTTATTGCTTAGGTACGACCCATGTGTGTGTTTAAATCCTGAGTCCAATTAAGACTTTTTGGGGGGAAAACTGTTGAATAACTGACCTTCATAAATCCAGACATCTCATTCCTAACACAGAGTACTTGTCTAATTATGGAAAATTATGACCTGTAAATATAAAAGAACTTGTTCCCCCGTGTTTACGTTTAAATTCACGCTTAGACTTATTCTTTGGATTTTTAGAAAATTGTAACTTTTAAAAATTGAGACCTTTGTCTTCTCTCTCTCTGAATGACTAGGATTAGTCTGTCTAAAAATCTGACTTCATATGTAGAAAATAAGAATTCATTCATTTAACAGTGAACATCTTAAAATTTTTATTATTTTTTCTGTAGGAAATTAAAGGTATTCTGTATTTTACTTTAATGAATTATAAAATTTTCTAGCTGCTCTGTTTGGGGGATCTTTTCCTGTTTTATTTTTTTGTTAGCCAAATATGTAATGATGATGATGTGGTAGTTGCTTTTTGCTCTGCAATTGTGTTTTTTCTAGGTGAGCTGGTGACACAGTACATTTCAGAACTACAAAACACAGAGGAAATGATTCGTTGTGGCTTTTCACGAGCTCTTGGGGCCCTTCCAAGATTTCTGCTAAAGGGCAGGCTCCAACAGGTGAGAAAATACGATCATTGTAATGAGAAGAGGGCACACAGTATTTTGAATGAAACCTATGATCGTAATCAAATAAATAATAATGATCGTAATTAAAGGTCTTTGTGAAAGGAGTTTGGATTGTAATGTACAGTAACTCCAGAAAATCATAATGAGTTTAGCTTGCCATAGATTCTGATAATTAAAGTTTAGTCCTGCTTTAGTAGTGTTAATGGAAAAGCCAGAGACTGAATTATCCCTTTGCTATGGAACATTTGTCCAAGGGGAAAAGTGAGGCATGCTGACAGGTCATGATGAGAAACCAAACATTGTTGGCTGTTTGGTTCTCTCATATGTGATTGAACTCATTTTAATATGCTATCTAAATTTAACATTTATCATAAATAATGCATTGGATTTAAATATCTCAGTTTTTATATTTTTTCAGGTTTTGGAAGGTTTGAAAAAAGTGACCTTAATTTCCCCTGGAGATGTGAGCTTTGCAGAATCCAGAAGAGATGCCCTAATAGCAATTGCAAAGTATGTTAATCATCTCTGTTTTTGTCTAATTTTAATTCTTTCTCTAGAAGTTTTCTCCCATGCATTCTGATTTCAAGAGTGGTTCTTGAAATGAGTTACACTATGACGTACACATTTTTATTGTGGGACTGTGTGCATCTCCATTATTCAGGATGGAGTACAACTCTGATGGTGCTGTGGGGTTTTTTTAAATCAACTGAATAGCTAGAGTATATTTTAAAGTTTGCCTTTCTCATGGGCTGCATTTTAGTGAGCTTTAGTGAAGGGGAAGAATATAAGAATACAAGTTTCTTCCACTTCCTTAATAAGAAGATTGAATTGGTTTAAAGAAACTGCTTTTTTTCTAAAGGAATATTTTCTGTTTTGACATGCCACAGTGTAATTAGTTTTAATAGTATCATAGTATATATGCTCTTAAACTGTTACAATGAAAAAAAAAAATCTTTTTCTCATGTTAACCATGCCTTCAATGTAAAGAAGTTTGTTGATATCAAGTTCAATGCACATTATATTAGTCCTTTGCTCTTCTTGCTTACTTCATTTTAAGGAGAGTTCAGAAGCTGACACGTGCTTTAAGCATGTTCGTTTTTGTAGTATTATAGATGTAAAAACAGTCTGCTTATCTGTTGAGTTTTTTGCCATGCCAGTGTTTCTTTAAACTTGAACACTGATCAGAAGTCCTCAGGTCAAATATAGTACAGTAGGCTCAGAAATATTCTTTATACAGTTTGTAGCAGATATTATAGGTGTTTAGAATATTGTATGTCTGGGGAATTTTATTGAGCAACAGAACAAAGCTATGATCTTAATGTTTCTCCTTGGTACTGTGGTATACCCTCTCCATCCCCCCTCTTTTCTCTTTTTAAAGGGTTTGCCAGACAGTAGGCGTAAAGGGAGAAGGATCCCATGAAGAATATGTCTGCAAAGATAACGTTACTGAGATTTTTGCTACGCTGCTTAGTGGTATGACTGATTACACCACAGACAGCCGAGGAGATATTGGAGGATGGTAAGATGCCTTACAAACGGAGACTTAAACGTAGCTCTTGCGTTTGATGTCTAATTAAAAACTGATGTCTTCTCAAAACCTGTTAGAAATAGATAGCTCCAAGCTTTTGGAGATTTGAGTATAGGTAGGAATACACTGGAGGAAGAGGAGTAGAAAGTGAAAGGAAAGGCTGACAAGAATTTGTCCCTTGCCTTGGGAAGTTAGGAAGATGGGGACTGTTGTGTCTTAAACTGAAGTTCAGCCTTGTTCTGTTTTTTTGGATGACATTCTTTTATTTTAGTGAATATCAGGAATGTATTTAGTTGTAAAAAGTGCGGAGATTTGAGCCATTATTTCTGTTTCTTTGAAATAATACATTTACTCCTACTTAGGGAACTCTTCTAGTCGACGTTCATGTTGTGGGGATTTTTTGCCAGGAGAGGGAGCAGTTGCATAACGTGTTAGTGATGAATGTTCAAGGCTATTAACTAACTGAGATGGATAAAAACTTTATAAATTGTGCTGTGGTATTACTGACTCTTTTGTACGTTTAGGTTTTCAATGATTTCGGCTGTTAAATTGCAAGAATAATTAAGTCATAAGTCTGTAGGAACATATCTATTATTGTGGAATCTGTAGAATAGGTACAAGATTAAGTCTGTAGCATTCATACTTTTGTGATGTTCTTCAGTCTTCACAGTTCCTTTAATATATAAAGAAGATTCAGTATATAAGATTGCATTCATCTGAATGTTCTGTATTCCTTCAGTAACACTGATCTGAAAAGGCAATTTCTAAATTGAGGAACCAAAGCACTATAAAGGCTTATGTCCTTCTTTGGGTTTGTGTTTAATTTCTAAAGAAGCTGTAATTGGGGATGTAACATCACTCACTGATTGGAAGTTCCTGCAATCTTGGAATGTGGTAGACAGAGCAGCAACGAAGATTTCATGTTACTTGCTTCATCCTGTAGAATTCCACAAGGTAGTTACAGGATGAGAAAACTACGTGAAATATGGATCTTAGAGATCAAACGAGTACTAAAGAAACATACAGGCTCTACTGCCAGGGTACTTTTCAGCGTGTATTTATGAGCACAAATATGCCCCGCCTGAAATAGTACTTGTTAATAAATGTATTAAATTATCAGAATTCGGGAATAAATCTAGCATCTGCAGATTTAAAATATATGACAATTTTTCTTCTATGTAGAAGGCTCAGAGCAGTAACACTTAATCCTTGTATAAAGAAGCCATAACCTAAGTAAATGAATGTGATAAATTCATTTTAGTTGTCTGTTAGTTGTTGGAAATTGATTTTGAGTAAAATGGTGTTTTTGACAAAGACTTAGTAATTTTATTGTCTTAATCCATAATTTTAATTTGAAAATATGCGGATATATGTTGCTTTTAGATATGGTTCTATACATAAAGTATCAGCCCTGCTTAACAGTATGGGTAATACTATTTGTACGGTATGGTAATGACGTGGTATTATATATTTGACCTATCTGGCAACCATGTGAGGCATCTCAGGGTACAGAGATGCGTGTTCAGGATTGTAAATTAACAACCTGTTGATTGTTCAGATCTAGTATCTGGCTATGCTTTTATTACATTCCAGGCAGGAAGTGGGGAGTGCCTGAAAAGTACTGCTATGAAATAATTTTGTTGGTTGAAAAGATTTCCTTATTTTCCCAGTTTATTGAAGAAGCTCTTGTCTAACAGTGCTGAGTCACATGAAGGGCTTTGGTGTTTAGTTTCAATCATATCCTTGCACAGTGTTTGTATGAAATAACTGGTTTAGATACTTTTTCAGTCACTATCCTCTTCTTTGAAGGGTGTTTTCAACAGTAGTATATGAACAGGAAACGTAATTTCCTTTTAATTTAATTGAGCGGCATCTACTATATTGTAGCTGGCCGCTGAGACTCAACAGGTGAGGAGGGATAGAGAACTACTAAAATGAAAGGCTCCAAACTAGGTATGCTGTGGCTCTAGCAAAGCTGGCAGAGCTCACAGATGATGGTTGCGACCTGTGGTGGTAATTGCTGACTTGGGAAGGCTACAATGGGAGAGAAGTTAGCTGTACCTTGCAAGGGAGGGTGTACACTCCTTGCTTGTCATACTTCTTTCTGTCGCCAAAACAGTCTCAGTCGCTTGCTCCCTCCTCCCTGCTGCAAGCAAAACAGTCCAGTTCTGGAGCATTGGCTTATGTTCAGCTTCAGCAGTCATGCATAGCATGCTGATCCCTGTTCAAATTCGGTATAATACATGATGCCAAGTACGCATTGTGTGAGTTTGGGAACTTTTTGTTTAGGCGCAAATTTCTGGTTATGTCTGTTTTGGAATGATGTCCTACTCACTCTTGACTTTAGTGTCATTATTTTATTTGGTAGCCCCAGGTTCACTTTAAAAAAAGAAAAAAACATTAATTACAGTGGCATTCTCCTCTTTAAGTTTGCTCATTAGATAGCTTGAACACAGGCAGATGCTGTAAAGTACATTTGTAATTACAATTTGTAATTTAATGGGAGCAACTATAACACCCCCTATAACCAACTATTGTCTTATGTAGGAAGAAAAGTTATAATTGTGCTTTTTTTTGTGTAATATGTATCATGCTGGAGTTTTTCATTGCCAGCAGTCATCAGGTAGTTTATACCGCTGTCAAACTTCAATGCTTGTGCTCTACCGAGTCATTATCAGTCATTGAGATCTCATCAGTTCCAGGGTGAGTTGCAATAGTTATAAATAACTGCTCTGTCTTTGAACAGAAAGTGAAGTGTAAGTTCTACAGTGCAAAGTAGAATGAAGATATTTTGTGCCATGTTAGTATTGGGCACTTTTTTAATTGAGTTGCCTTGTTCCTTTAGGGTACTTCACTACAATATTTACAAATGCGTTAGAAAAGTACACAGGATAAATAATGGAGACTACTCTTATCAGCCTGAGTTAATATTTGTGTGTTTGTATTTTTCTTGTTTTGTATAATGATACCCAGCCCTCAGCCTTCAGTACTGTTGTTAAAATTGTCATATGATAGGGAAATAATAGCACAGGACAAGAAGTCAGAGAAAAGTAGGTGTGTTTGACATCTCAAATTTAGAAGAGGAAACAGGGATGCACACTAGTAAGGATCAAGAGCAGGTCATTCCAGCTTGCGCAAGGGAAGGAGGAGCTTGGCTTTCCCTCTCCTCCTTCCTTAGCCATCAAAGAAGCAAGAGGGAGGTGAATGGGTCTCTTGCTCAGAGAATGTAGTAACACAAGAGTGACACAGGTGTAGCTGAAAGAAAATGTTAGAGCAACCTCATAGGGTTAGGGAGTCAGAGAAGGGGAAGAGATACTAGGCTTTTTGCTTTCAAAATCAGGCAAGATACTGAAGTAGGTAAGAACCCAGTTAAGTATAATTAGTTATTCATGTTAACCTCCACATCTAACAGCTCTCACTTCAGTTCCCCATACCTATTGTTTACCTTTCTGTCTATGTCTAAATTGAAAAACAAAACTCTACAAAGTGGAAATTTTCCAAGAAATCCCGAGGAAATTAAATTCCCGACGCCCATTAAAATTCAAATGTGCTTTGAGCACCAGATTCTTTTAAAGCTTCTTTGGCAATGCCAGCCAAAATCAAGTCAAGAAACTTGTAAATTAAAGGGGGAGGGGGAATCCTTTCTCAGCAAACTGTTGGCTGCTAAATACTTTTGTGGCCTCTCAAATATGAATGTTTTCTCATTCTGTTTCTTCTAAAACATTGACTAAGATAGAAAGATATGGGGAGAATTGCCATTTCTCTGGAGAGACCTTGCCTTTGGTGTGTAATTTTTGTTTTTCTTTAATGGAATCGTGGGAAAGTTTAACCAACTTTACTTTCCATATGCAGACTTTACATTTCTTTTGACAGATTGTTTGCTGGGGCTTGTCCAATCTGTCTACAGGTGTTAGACATGAATATCTAATAGTCAGATACTATATGAAAAACTAGGAAAACGTCCTTTGATGAAAGATTGCCAAACTTGAATTAAGCTACTTAGGAAAAAATGATGTAATTTACCTTTTTTTACCATTATAACAAATGTCCCACCCAGTTGTAGATTGCATAGGCAACTATTTTCAGCTTGTTTTGGAAACCAGAAACAGGAGTATTTCTTTTCACAGTAGGCAGGTGTACCTTTTCAACTATTTCAATTTTTGCTGCTTTTTTTTTTTAATATAATTATTACTGAGAAAAGATGACATTGCCATGAGTGACTAATGTGATGAATGTGTTCATCCTGGTGTTCTGCAGGATCATGTAACCAATTGAGGATCCGCCATGGTGCTTCCCATGTTTTAAGAAAGAAACTACTTTTAACAACTCATGTATTGACAAGGCATATGGTTTAAAACAAGTGTATTGATTTTAGTTTTTGATTGAAATCACAGTCTTCATCTTTACATTGATACTATATATTTAGACATTTTGAAGGCAGATCTTCATCATATAGATAATATGCACGTCAAGCACAAACTAGTGTTACTTTAGCTAATCTTTTTCATAAAACTAATTATTATTTAGCACTTAAGCCATCCTGAATCACTTTTTTTAATTTGGAAGTATTAAGCTTGAAAATTTACAAGGATATGACACACTTAACAGTGTTTAAGTATCTTGTCAAAACGTGGGTTGGCCTTTTTAGAAGATGATTTGAAGCAGACAAAGCACTTAGGCTTAAACGCATCTACTTTCTCACTAAATATTACTAATAGTTATCAGTTTTAACCTTCTTAAAATAAAGAATAAACCTGATGACATCTGGCTGGAATGAAAAATAAGATGATGAGGCAGGGGGCTTGCATGGAAACTAGGATGCCTGTTGAACCCTCAGTGCAAATGTGGGCTTCGCTTCACAGAGTGGGGCTTAGGGCTACAGCTGTACACAGTCCTCTTCCTCCCCAAAATATGATAGCTGCTTCCAGGGGTCAATGCTTTCATTGTTTTGAATTTTTTGCCAGTGTCTTTTTAACTTAACTGCCAATGTATTTATTTAAATAAATACTGATGTAACTAATGTATGTCTGTCTCAACAGGGTACGTGAAGCTGCTATGACAAGTTTAATGGAAGTGACGCTTCTGCTGGTTCAGAATGAAGCAGAGTTAATTAATGCCAACATGTATGCTACTTGTGCTATTTTTGTGTCTTATCTCTTACAACTACATTCTAGTCCATACAAGAAAGCGTTGCTTACATATTGTATACTTAATCCTTTACTGAGTGTGACAGAACTTTTGACAGAAGCACATCAAGTTTACGCCCATACAGATGCTGAGAATATTGTATCTGTTTTTCAGAGAGACTAAGCTTACTGAGAGAGGTGACAGTCCCATCTTTGAAATCCAACGCATCTGTGAGATTTGGTCTATACTTGCTGCCTCTGTGGAGCTTGCCAGTATTGTTCACTTAAATAGAAAGCAAACTTGCACACTTATCCAGTGCATCACATCATTAATTTGGAATGTGATAAAATGTCCAGATGAGTTTGTATTCTTTTCTGTCGTCTTTGCAGAATTATTAGTAAGGAAATGTAGAAAAACATAATTTACACTGAGCTTCTGATCTTTAATTTCATGATACAGTACTTACAGTACTCCCAATAGAAAAAAAAAAAAAAAAAAAGAAAGAATACTTACTAGTTTTTAAACGTAGCTTGAGCTGCAGAAGAACTTTCTGAATAATGGTGTTGGTTTATGGACAGAGCATGCCCAATGGTTACCTGAATATATACATGATTTCTTTTTTAATTTAAAAAAAAAACCAATCTTTGAAGGAAAATACTGGATTCTGTAGGAATACATTACTCGACCAGTGGCCGTTGTCCAGAGGCTTCCTTCTATTGGTCTACTGCAGTCATAGATTAT